GCTTGCTTTGAACTCACTCTGTAGTTCAGGTAGGCCCTGAACTGGGTGATGCTCCTGCCTCAGCCTCCTGGAGTGTTGTGACCCATTCCTTTCAAAATAAAAGTTAAGACGTGGGGCTGGACAGATAGCTCAGTGGTTAAGCTCACTTGGTGCTGTTCCAGAGGACCATAGCATTCACGTCTGCTGGCTCACAGCCATGTGTAACTGCAGCTTCAGAGAGCTCTGACAGTCTCTTCTTGTGTCTGTGAACACACACACACACACACACACACACACACACACACACACTTTAAAAAGAAAAAGATGAGAGTGGAGTCAGGCATAGTAAGTATATAATGTTTACTAGCAATGCTGCCTAGAGCCAAGACATGTGAAGAAGTTTCTGGAAACCCTCCGGAGAGAACTGGCATGGAGGTGTGGTTCTGAGTGGAGCTGCTTCCGTCTGGGCTGTGGGCAGGTGAGGGCAGTAAGACCCAGCTGGCACACGGGCTGTTTCCAAAGAGCCCAAGAGTGAGTGTCCTAGCCACTCACAGAAAGATGTTAATGGCTTGCCATTTGTGAGATTTGCTGTCAAATCCCTGAGAAAGCAAAGACTCTTTGTTACCTTCACACCCCTGCTGGCTGTTAAACATTTATAGACTTGGGGAGAGACAAGAGGGGAAAAAAAAGTAAAGAAAACTGCCACCAGCTCGGATTAAACCAGTGTAAACACTGTGATACTAGGCTCACTGGGCCTGGCTACTCCTTAGGACTCTGAGGCAGTGTGTGTGTGTGTGTGTGTGTGTGTGTGTGTATGGCAATGTGTGTGGCCATGTATGTGGCTGTGTGTTTATACACCTATGTGTGTGTGTGTGTGCTTTTGTATACACCCATGTGTATTCCCATGTTTTTATGTGTATGTGTGTGTGTACTGTGTGTGTCCCTCATGTTTGTGTGTGTAGCCGTGTGTGTGTGTGTGTGGCTTTGTATGTGTATGTATGCGCCCATGTGTGCACCCACATGTGTGCATATGTGTATGTATACTGTGTGTGTTCCCTATGTTTGTGTGTGTATGTGTGTGTGTGTGTTTGGCTTGGTTTCTTGAGACAGGGCCCTACTCTGTCATCCAAGCTATCTCTGAATTCACAGCATTTCTCCTGCCTCAGCCTCCCAAGTACTGGCATTATGGGTACTACCATAATCGTGTGTCCCCCATGTTGTGTGTCCACGCTGGCTACAGTTCTGGATTGCTTACAATATCCTGAGCTTGTTTTTGAGGCAGAGAGTTTGAGTGTGGATGGGATCTCTGTACAGGGCTGGTGTCTGGCTTGGTCAGTTTGTAGAGAGTGGGTTCTCAGAACATCACTGAACATGGGTCTGGTGCTCACTGGCTCCTAGGTTAGACATCTGTGCTGTGCTGTCTGCCGGGAAGTGGCATGTGTGTGTGTGCACACACGCCGCACCCGCTCAGGTTCAGAAGCACTTCACCCTGAGTACCAGATAAACTCCAGCTCTGCAGACCCAAGCTAGAGAATCAAAGCGCCGAAGGATGCAGACAAGCTCTTCCTCTGTCCTCTTCTAAGTGAGACTGTGGGGCCCGGAGTGGGTGGGGACTTTTCTTCTGCCGCTAGCCAGTTAGCAGCAGAGCGAGGCTAGGTTCTGTTTCCCGCCCAGTCAGCAGAGTTCCGTTGTCACAAGTCATGTTCCAAGTCACCTCCACTTCCCCCCACCTGCTCCACAGAGGCTAATTATGTTTGTGAAATTAAGCTTGTTTTCTTTGCATAATACAGAAACCAAAAGTCTCCTTTTAGCAGGGCTGCGGAGATGGCTTGGCGTGTGAGCATGAGGAGTCTGAGTTTGAATCAAGCTCCTGTAACTCCAGTGCTTTTTGGGCAGAGACAGGAGGATCGCTGGCACTTGCTGGTCACCAGGCCGGCTCAAAGTTCAGTGAGGGACCCTGACTCAAAGAGAATAAAGTGGAGAGTGGGGGCAGGACACCTGACATCGTCCTCTGGCCTTGTGTGCTCCTAAGTGTGTACACATACACATATGTGCACACCCCCCACATACGTGTGCCCCCTCCCCGTTTAGACAACCCACCCTGTGTCCACCTTTCTTTACTACTGAATCTCAGTGGTCCCCACTGCTTGGTGTAGAAGGACTTTTGTAGGTCACTGTTGGAATGAACCAGAACCTCTGCCAGCCCCAGGGCTGCAGACACTAACCTACCACTTGCTCCTCTCCTACAGATGTGAGAGTCCACGAAGGAAGCATTTCTGAGAGTGGTGCTAAGAGCTCTGGGCTGCAGTTGGGATTTTGACGGATGTTACCTATCCAGTCATCCTCTCTACAGATGACGCCCTCTGCCTTGTAGGGCCAGGTAGTGACATTGTGGAGGAGTGTTGTCAGGGTCCCATGTGATTTTCATGGGGTGCATTCCTTTAAAGAGGAATGGCCTACCTTGTGCCAGCTCCCATCCAGGTGACAGAGGCTCAGTAGTACTTAGGAGAGTCCTCATGGCATCTCTGGTCAGGTGACAGGCAGACTAGCTAATCAATAGCTGATGCCACAATTACTTCGGTAGAATTAGGGGACATACAGGGTGTAGAGCAGCCACCCCTGGGGGCGGGATGTGAGCTGTTTAAGGGACAGTGACAGAGCTTGTGGGCCTGGGTGAATGGAGCTGTTGAGGTAGAGGGAATAGAAACTGCCAAGTCTCGAGGTCAGGAGGAAGTGAGTGCTTCCTCCTCAACCCCACACTGCCTGGGATCCAGAGAGAGGAGAGGCGGAGGGTGGGCAGACTCCAGCCATGCTGGCCCAAGGGAGGTCATTTGTTTTTCATGTTAAGAGTGGTGAGCAGCCCTTTGGGAGCTCTCATCTGGAACAGGGGCACCATCTGGGCATGTTGAGGTCAATTCAGCTAAGCTGGAGTACACTTCCTCTATGGTGGCCCAGAAAAGGTACACAGAGGCCAAGGACGACCGGAGTGTCCACCCCAGCTCCCCAGAGCAGGAGACCCCATTCTTGGCTTGCAGGACACCGGGTGTGATTCTTTTATGAATCCTCTAGGTTTGTGGTGTAAGTGCCGGGAACTGCAGTAGGTGCCAGGCGAACAATGCTGACCCACAGGGAATGTGAACCCAACCTCAGTGGAGCTTAGAATCAGGAGAACTACCAACACCCATAAAGAGCCAGAGAGTAAATATTTTAAGACTTGTGGCTCATATAGACCCTGCCAAAACTCTAAGCTCTCCTGTTCCAGTGAAGAAACTCTAGGAATAAATAGACATGGTTGTGTACCAATAAAACTTTATCAGCAGATAAAATGTGGGTCCTTGGAGTGTGGTTTGCCTGGCCCGTATTTAGCAGGACAAGGTCTTTAAGCACACATATGTATCAGATGCGGATCGATCTGGTAGTGGGTACAAAGGCAAGGTGGCAGAAGGGGGTTTGGGGTGCTCAATGGGGCTATCTCTGAGCTACTTGGGGGACACTGGACACAGGTGGAATGGGGATACAGGCTGATGACAGCCACAGACGGGGCCCATGATGACCAACATAAAAGACCAGAGGAAGCACGAAAGGACAGTTTCCAGAGCGGACATTGGTCAGAGGAGATTTTGGGAAACTGAGAGAGAATTGGGGGGGGGGGGCTTCACTCAAGACGGACATGTGTGCAGGGAGCGCCGGCGCTGGTTTGTGACTTGATAGCAGAGAGGTGAGGGTTTGCTGGTGGCTGGGGTAGGAGCCAGATGGAGAAATCAGGCCTTGGAGAAAGAGTTGGTGTCAGGTGGTGGGAACTAACATCCCTTGGTGGCTCTGGAGAAATTCCCCAGTGAGGAATGTTAGGAGTCAGGCTTGGGGTTTGTTTAGGTGTCATTGCTTGGGGTTTAAGGGACAGAATGAGGTGACAGAGCAAAATAATCTACTGGAGTGACCCTCTCGTCTCTGGTGGGCCGTTGAGATGTGACAGCAGAGATTCCAAATGGCCGTCGCTGTTATAAAGGTATTCGGGCCACCCTGGATCCCTCCTCTTAATGGTTTGAAAGAGTTCTGAGTCTGCTAATTTCGTGTCTTTGGGGACTCTTGTCTCCTCCTGGGCCATACCTATAAATGGACATGAATGAGCAGGGAATCCAGTTCTAGAAAGCTTCTCACGCTTGGGTGTGGCCCTCTCAGACGCAGACTCATGGATCTCAGAGTCCATGTTGGTTCTCTGTATCCTGAGGTCACATCACACATGTGAAATGAGAAGGCCAACCGTAGCCCTGTAGAGTTAGCAAATTCTAGTAATGGGGTCGTGACCCGCAGACATGAAATAACCTCCGTTGGGAGGGAGACTCAGAGTGTAAGATACCCAGCTGGGGGTCTGTGGTCCCGTGAGCTATGAGAGAGATCAAATCCACTTGAATGTCTTTTCTCTGTGACTGTGCACAGGCGTGTTGATGCAGGCACGTGTACAAGGCCATGTGTGTGTATATATGTATGCGGGGATACGGAGACCAATGGTTGATATCGGGTGTCTCCCTCAAATCCTCTCCACCTTTGTTTTTTATGACAGGGTCTCTCCCTGAACTTGTAGTTTGTTGATTTGGCTACAATATCTGGCCAATGAGCTCTGGGCTTCCCTGTCTCTGCCTCCCCACTTTGACTTTTATGTAGGCTCTGGGGATCAAACTTGGGTCCTCAGATCCACGTGGCAGGCAGTTTCCCGACCAAACCTTCTCTCCAGCCCCTAAAATTCCTTTCTGAGAGGATCTTAGGCCTCAGCTTGGAGACTCTTAGGCCAGTTTGTCTTCCTTACTTCATGGATCCATGGCTTATGTAGCCCCAATGTCTCATTCTGGACTCTCTTGAGGGGATTTGGGACTAAGTGGCTTCATTTGTGGCAAGCTCAGGGTTTGGCATGGTGGGGTATTAGAACCAACCAGTGGCAGGAGACCACACCCACCCACGACTGTGACTCCACACCCCAGTTCTGTTTTAGAGGCTTAAAGACCCCCTCCCCCTTCTCTTTCCAGAAGAACCGATCGCACATAAGGCCATCAGCTCACCCTCCGGACTCGCATACCCGGATGATGTCCTGGACTATGGCCTCAAGCCATGCAACCCCCTCGCCAGTCTCTCTGGCGAGCCCCCTGGCCGGTTCGGAGAGCCGGATAGTATAGGGTTCCAGAACTTTCTGAGCCCAGCCAAGCCAGCAGGGGCTTCGGGCCCGAGCCCTCGGATCGAGATCACTCCATCCCACGAACTGATGCAGGCAGGGGGGGCCCTCCGTGGGAGAGACGCCGGCCTGGCCCCCGAGCAGCCGGCCCTGGCCCTGGCCGGCGTGGCCGCCAGCCCGAGGTTCACCCTGCCCGTGCCCGGCTTCGAGGGCTACCGCGAGCCGCTTTGCTTGAGCCCCGCTAGCAGCGGCTCCTCTGCCAGCTTCATTTCTGACACCTTCTCTCCCTACACCTCGCCCTGCGTCTCACCCAATAACGCCGGGCCCGACGACCTGTGTCCCCAGTTTCAAAACATCCCTGCTCATTATTCCCCCAGAACTTCTCCAATAATGTCACCTCGAACCAGCCTCGCCGAGGACAGCTGCCTGGGCCGACACTCGCCCGTGCCCCGTCCGGCATCCCGCTCCTCCTCACCCGGTGCCAAGCGGAGGCATTCGTGCGCAGAGGCCTTGGTTGCCCCTCTGCCCGCAGCCTCACCCCAGCGCTCCCGGAGCCCCTCGCCACAGCCCTCGCCTCACGTGGCACCCCAGGACGACGGCATCCCCGCTGGGTACCCCCCCACGGCCGGCTCTGCTGTTCTCATGGATGCCCTCAACAGCCTGGCCACTGACTCGCCCTGCGGGATTCCCTCCAAGATATGGAAGACCAGTCCTGACCCGACGCCCGTGTCCACCGCCCCGTCCAAGGCGGGCCTGGCCCGCCACATCTACCCTACTGTGGAGTTCCTGGGGCCGTGTGAGCAGGAGGAGAGGAGGAATTCCGCGCCGGAGTCCATCCTGCTGGTACCACCCACCTGGCCCAAGCAGTTGGTGCCAGCCATTCCCATCTGCAGGTGAGTGGGACTTTGGGAGCTGTCCGTGCCCGAGTGTGCCCTAGGGAGCGGGTTTTCTCACACAGTGTGTGAGGACTGACTGTGTGTCCTGGCTCTGCCGTTCATTGCCTGTGTGAACATGGGCATTGTGCCACCCTCCTGTTGTTGCACCTGAGACAGACATTGGTAAACAATTACGATTCTCTTTGAGACTGTTCCCAGAGCAGTCATCACTAATCAATCAGAACTCTCCTGCATTTGTGCCAGCACATTTTTGGGTCTTTGTTCATTTCCCATAAAATGATAAAATGAGAATAATAGCGGCGCCTACCTCTTACTGGCTTTTTTTTTTTTTCATCAAGAACTAGGTCGAAGGACATATGCCAGAGTCCTGGCTTAGAGGTCAGGAGCAGAACAGCTCTCTTATGTTCTTACAGGGGGTCTAAGTTCCCTCCCCTGCTGCTGCACTAAAACACCCAGACACATACAAGTAAAGAAACAAGACTCTGTTCTGGCTCACAGATCCAATGTTCAGCCATCATAGTGGGAACATCAGAGGCAGGAGCTTGCATCTACAGTCAGGAAGCAGATAACTTTTTATACTATCCAGGATTCCAGCCTAGGGGATGGTGCCTCCCACAGTGGGTGACTATTCCCACCTTAATTCATCTCATCAAGATCATCCGGGCACACCTAGTGGCCTGTCTCCCAGGTGATTCCAGAGCTCAAGTTGACAGTTGAGATGAACTCACTCTGGAGCCTTCTTCCCCAGGGGACCTTTAGGAAGAACTTCTTTGCTGACAGGCCTTGTGCCAGGAGATTGATCTCATAGTAGAGGGACAACAGTGACATCAATAACCACCTGTGTCCAAGGGGCCCTGCTTTGTGCCTGCCCGCAGAACTCTGTGTGGCATCCTGCCTCTTCCTCGTGTGAACCTGGGTTGGTTATGTGGCATTTAAAAAAATCCTCATTTGGATGCCGAGCAGGAACATGTACTGTCTCCCCTCTCTGCCTTACCTGTCAGATGAAACACAGGAGGCCCGAATGGTCACTGTTACTCTGTGTGACCCACACAGTGCTTCTTTAGCAGATGGAAGCACGCTCACCTGATAAAACACAGCGTTGAATTGAGTTGGCAAAACCTGGCTGAGCTTGTCAGCACCTCACAGGCTGCACGAAATGGAAAAGGATACACTGGATGGATGGATGGACGGATGATGGATGGATGGATGGTCTCTGCCATATGTGAAAATCAGGAGGTGCCATGGGAACTCATGCATGTGCCACCTCAGAGAACCTTTAAGTATAAAAAAAATCTATGAAATAAAACTGCGTATCTGCCCGCCCACCTATTCATCCATCCGTCTGCTTACCTATCTCATCCATCTAGCCACCAATGCATGGAGCCCATTTACACATCCACTGACCTATCCCATCCATCTATTCATCCATCTATTCATCCATCTATTCATCCATCCATCCATCTACCCATCCATCTACCCATCCATCCACTCATCCATCCATCCATTCATCCATCCATCCATCCACTCATCCATCCATCCACTCATCCATCCATCCAT